CAGAGAGGAGAATGGTGATCATCAAGGCCTGCAGATGATGGGAATAGCAGAAAAATGTTAATCAAAAGGTACAAACTTCAGTGAGAGAGAAGAAATAAGTTCAGAATATTGATTTACAAGATGGTGCTTATACTAAATAGTATTGTATTACACATTAGAAAATTTCTGTGAGTAGATTTTTATGCATCCTCACCACAACAAATAAGTATGTGAGGTAACAGGTAATTAGCTTGATTTAGTCATTTTATAAGATGAACATGTATTAAACTATCAGGTTTTACCTTATAAATTATACAGTTTGTCAATAAAAATAATTTTTAAAAATATTTTCAAAACAGGAAAAACTTATTTTAGTTAGGAGGAAATCCAAAAAATATGAGCATGAGTTTAACCCTTAGTAAAATCAGAGCCAAGTTGTGAAGGTATTTAAAGGCTTCAGAACATAGAAGCTATGTAATATAGTATGTGTTTTCATTGGAATTCAGGGAAGTCCACAAATAAAAAATGTATCTATAATTTTTTATGAAAGTATGCTTTCTGAGATAGTTTATGGTTTTTGTAGGCATCTCATTAAAGCCGATAGCACAAAAGATATTCAAGTAAATGGAAAGACTATCACTTTAACTCCATAGTTTACAAAAATGGAAAAGAAAAATAAAAAGGTTCCTAGTCTCAAAGCCCTAAGAAGCTTATATAAGCAAGAAAATTCAAGGCAGGAGAGAACCTGGGGCCTCACCAGGAGGTAATCCCCGCCAGGAAACCAGCACCAAGCACAGGCCTCTGCCAGAGTGGGAACAGCCACACCCAAGACTCTTTCCAAGTCAGGCCATTCCTGGATTGGGTGGCTGGGGACCAGTCCTCACCAGGAAGCGATCCCATCTGGGGAACCATATCATTTTCATTGTTTTGTTGAGTTGGGTTTTATTCTGTTTTGTTTTGTTTGACTATGTTAAATCTGATGGCATGAGCAGCTATTTGAAAAATAACAAGACATATTATGGTGACCATTTTGGATTTACTATTGTCTTGTTTTGAAGTCCTTTACTGCATTCACTGTTTTGTCTTTATTGTTTCTATTCTGTTCTGTTCTGTTCAATTTTTGCTATGTCGGAAAGTACCTGCATCTATTTTGAAGACAACAAAAAGCATTATGATAACTATTACTGGTTTTGTAAGGTTTTGAAGTCCTGTATATACTGGTTTAATTTTGATTGATTTTATTCTGTTTGATTTTCCTTGATTTTATCCTCTTTAAAAGAAAAGAAAAAAAATTCAAGACAGGATGGTGCTGATAAATATGGAAGAGTGGAGATAAACATTTACCTTTGTACCTACCAAGGCCAGCTTCCAGCTACTAGTGAGACACTGGCTAACTCCAATTCCAAAAATGCTAATCATCAGATCTAGTAGACTTCTAATTCCAAGGGAAAGACTAAATATTTTTTCAAGTTCAAAACGAAAATAGTTCACAATATGTCTTAGTTACTTTTTTCTCATTGCTAGGACAAAATACCTGATGCCCAAAATTAAAGGAAAAAAGGTTTATTTCTTACAGTTCTTGGAAGTTTCAGTGCATACTCAGTTGGCTCCAAGGCAGCGTGGTGGGGCAGCCCTTCGTGGCTGCTGCAAACAGCAAGGCGCTAACAAGCAAAAGAAAGAAATACACCTTCTTCCCTCTGTTACATCATATCCTGGCTCCACCCCTAGGCAGGTTAGCACTCACACCACCAATCCAAGTGCTAGACAATGAATCAATCACAATTGCATAATTGCATGAAGTTTGGGGGCCATTGACATAAACCATGACACCATAATTTTGCATGAATTTTCTGTTTAAATTTTGTATCATTTTAAATGAAATATCAAGAAGACTTCTTGAAATATTTCATTGGATTTGAAAGAACCAGTGATTAAAGCAAAAATATTTTTTAGCATTCTGATAGGGAAATCAGTACTCATAGAAAAATTAATTCAGAGAAAGAGGATGCCATAGTTAAGAAGGAAAAAATTAGTCTCCTCCTATCGCAGTGACTCTCAATGTAGGGACCCTCAGCCAACAGAATTACCCAAAACTTGTTAGAAATTAGATTCTCTGTCCCCCACCTTTTGAATTAGAAACTAGAATGAGATCCAATTGGTATCTTAAGTTCTCTATGGTTTGGTGTTATGATGCTATCACTTCAGAATAATACAACTCATTGGCGCAGCAAGGATCTTGCTATCTTGTCCAAAGTATTTTTGAGTTCCATTAAATGACCCTCCAGACTCTGCCTGTCTAGTAACTGGGACTTTAGAAGTGGTATAATACTATTCTTAAGTCTGATACCAGTATCTAAAGCAGTGACTCTTAAATTCTAGCATGTTCCTGAAGGGATTTGATAAAATGTGAGTTTCTGGCCCAGACTCTTTAGGGATGTGGCTCAGGTATACAACTAGATTTCATTTTATGTTATTTTATTCTAATTGTTTGTTTGCGTAGTTGAAGTTCATAACACAGAACTACGAAGAAAAAAAAAAGAAGCAAGCTTCTTATAAAAAACATTTTCATGTGCACTTAAATAGATCAAAGAATTTAATAAATCCTCATGAAATCATCATCTAGATATTAAAAATATCAGCACTTTATCTGTTTATTTAATATCTGCTATTTTCATTTTAGTTGATTTTTGTAATGATAATATAAGGAAATTCCCATCATCTCACCCAGTAGATAATTCAGTATGTATTTCTAAAAGATAAGGGGACTTCCCTTTTCTATTGTCAATTGCTATTAATATAATGAGAAAAATGAATAACAATTCATTAATATCTTTATCACAGAAATACAAAAATGTAGGATTTTTGTAGTTGGTCCATGCATTGAATATACTTGCTATCTTTCAGTTCTGTAAGTTTTTCCTTTGCCATACCACCTCTAAGTACTAGTTATTTGCTGGTAAAACAGATCATTTGTCCTTTATAATTTTCCACACCCTGAACTTAGCTGAATATATCCTTGCAATTTTGTTTCAAATAACCTAGTGGAATGATCCAGAAACTTGTTTAATTTTAGGTGAATGTGTTTTGGTAAAAAATACTTCACAGGTAGCCCCATGTATTTTCTACCTGATTGTATCAAGGGACACAATGTGCTGTTAAATTGATCCATGGGTCCAGGTCTCACAAAACTGTCCATGTCTATATATCTTTTGAAGCAACTATTTTGAAGGAAGGTAACAATATGCAATATGATAACTATTTGTAATTTCCTGTCATCTTATTTTTTAATTTTAAAGAGGGTAAATTAAATGTAACAAAACAGAACAAAGCAGATCATAAGAAAACAATTTAAGAAACACAGATTTCAAAGCAAGACCAGTGGAGATCTTCACTGTCTATCATATTGTCTCTTTTTTTCTTCCAAATAGTTGTCCATATCTTCACACACAGTGAATTCATCCCGAACAAAATAGTACTAAACTGATCAGAACAGGATGATGAAGGCATTTTAGGACTCCAAGACCAGACAACAGGGAAGTCAACAACGGCTGCCATAATGTCTCTCGTTCTCTTCAAAATAGCTGTCCATACCTCTACATATGTTGAAATTAAACAAAACAAACTAAAATCACTCTGGACAGAGAATAATAGTATTGCTAGATTTTATATCATGACACTACAGAATTAGCACTGGGTATCTTAGTGTCTCTTCTTCAGAGTATCTGTTCATTACAACCTGCATTATATAATCAGTTCTCGTAAACTGTTTAGAAATTCTACACATGCGTGAGTCTCTATGTATACCTATCCTATCTTATTTTAAAATTCTATATAATTTTTATTGTTTTTTAAATTCTTTTTAAAGTAAAAAAATAAATTTTAAAAAACTTGATATATCCCGTAAATAATTGCAAATTAGTTGTACATTTCCTGCTCCAGACTAGGACAGGGGTTCCTGACTCCTTTTGAGTGGGACCAGGACTTAAGACACAATGAAGTTGGGATCCCTACTAAGCATTTTCAGCAGGCAGAGGTACGAGAGACATTAATTGTTTTAGAAGAAAGAAAATAAGTAGTGAAAGTATAATGCTTGCTATTCAATTTTAAGATTAATGGGCATTTATTTGACATTTATGCTGATGGTCTGGCTTTCAAATCAACAATATAAATATTACTACTAACAAAAAACCATTTGATGTATTTTTAAGCTTTTTATCCTGTAAGATATATACAGTAAAAAAAATTGTGCTTCACAGTTATTTTTAAGTTTCAGTTTTCTTTTATAATCATGCCGCCAGCTTGATATGCCATTTAAGTTTGTTTTACTTTGCTTTAAATCTCGGAGAATAACATTTCCTTTTAATATATAAAATATTTACATCATTCCAAAAATAAAAACTAGAAAATAAGGTACATAGAGAGTTATCTAGCCTCTATTTTTCTCCTGTTTCAGTGTGTGTATGTAGTGATATCATCCCTCTTTTTTACACAAATGTTAGCAAACATTATTCTGTACCTGATGTTTTTCCATTAACAGTTTCCTGGAGATCACATTATATCAATATATAGAGACCCTTTTCATTTCTTTCTACAGCTGCATAAGCACTACTTTATCGATTTATACCACTATTTTTACCCTAAGTAATGTACCATATTAAGTAATACCCATATTAATGTATATTTGATTTGTTTCTAGGTTTTGCAATGTCAAAGCATACCAATTTTGTCATTGTATCTGTAGAAGTTGCCACAATATTAGAAGATTGATAGCTAGACCAAAAGTTAAATGAATGTGTAATTTTGGCAGGTTCTGACTATCAAATACTCTGCAAAATATGGTACCTACCTTAGTACAGTGGCATGTTCCTGTGGTACCAGCTACTGAGAAACCTGAGGCAGGAGGATTACTTGAGCCAAAGAATTCAAAACCACTGCATATACCACAGCAAGACTACCCCCCAATAGATATATTTTGGTATTCTGACTTTATTTTGACTTGCAAAAAATAGTGCATGAGAGTATTTATTAATGCATATGTTGTCAAATATCTTTATTTCTTCCACATGATAACTGAGCAACAATTCCTTGATATAGTTCGAATTATATTTATTTTATTACAAGCAAGAAAATAAGAGCCAAGTTTACATTTACATTTTTTCTGTGAATTTTTTATTGTCTAGTGCATTTTTCTGTAATTCTCTGGGATGAGAGAACAAAATATTTTCTAATATAATTATATATATCACAATTTTTTCTACCGCTTAAGCATCGTAATTATAATTAGGAACATTTTTTTCTACTCTGTGAGTATAGAGAGATGTTCACTCATATTTTCCAATACTTCCTTTTTGTACTCATAATTTTAAATAAGTTCCTGAAGAGAGTGTTAGGTACATGAAAGTATCAGTTTATAATCAAAGCTTATACTATGATGGCAAACATTTCATTATTAAAACAATACATATTCAATAAGTCATGTTCATGTTTTTTCTTAATTCTTCTAAATGATGTAAATCTGAAGTCTTCTTGCCTAAATGACAAAATATGCCATTAGTGAACTATAAAGTGATTTTTCTGGAGCAATTTATGCTGTGAGTAAATGTATTTGATTATTAAAACTCTTACCTTTTTAAGAAAAGACAACATAAACCACTATGATGCAGCCTACGATCCAAGCAATCAGGAGAAGAATAGGAACCGTGAGGTTTGATAATGTATACTCTGCTTAAAAACAAGCAGGGAAAACAGATCAGATGGTCATTTGGGTAATAAATGTCCTTAATCAAATTGAGAGGAATCTGGCAGTGTTAAGGAAAAATATACCCTCTACTCATACTCATACATAGTTACTTTTCCAAAGGATTCCAGTGACTAGGTTATAAATCCCAAGTGCTTAGAATAGAAGACCTACTTTCAAACCAAGGTCATCTTTTTATTGTTCTGTGACCATGGACAATTCAGATCTTGAACTCTCACTTTGGTAAAAGATTGATAATGAGAATGGTGACACCCCTCTCTTGGAATGGTGATTGTCAAATGACATAAGGCATGCAAAGTTCAGTAAACTCTATCTCTGTTTATTGTATACAGAACACATTCATGCATTTGTGCAATAATGCATTGAGCAGCTGTTTACATAACAACAACTCATATAATTCTGAGGTAATTCCTGCTAAATTAAATAAATCACAACATACAGCATTGTTCTTGTTCTCAATACCTGACTTTAATGTTAAATTTCACAAGAAAAGAAAAGCTTCCTATATTATCTAATCATTCTCAATCCCAAAAAAAGATTCTATTTCTTTAAATGTGTTTATTATAATAATTAGCACTAAATGTTATCTATGGGCAATGGTAATCTACCACCCACATGGAAGATATATTTATTTATTGATTGATTGATTGATTGACTGATTTATATTCCTACTGTACCTCCTATTTGTAGGATTACCTATAAAAAGAAATTTATAAAAGTATTTTTAAGCTCACTATATAATTAATCTTGTTCTTTCAAGCAAACACACAAGCACACACATCCACATCTACGCCACAGAAAAGAATTCAGAAGAAGCAAAAGACAGATCCTATGGAGCTAATGTCCCTGTTTCTAGGACTCAGATATATTTTTTATTGGAAAATACAGTTAGAGTTTATGCCATTAGCTAACAAGAGAATGCATGTTCATAGCAAGTGTATTCTCTTTACAATTTCCATCACTTTAAAATGTGAACGTTTTTTAAAATGCTATTAAAGTCATTAGGAGATGTGAAACTTCTAAAATTAGAAGACAGTCTCATAAAAGCAAATTTTCAGAACTTTAAATGAATTTTAATACTTTCAATCTATTTTTATAAGAATGTGGAATATCTTTTCAGTTAAATACAATGGGCTTTCCTTGTTTCTCCACCTTACTCTGACCTTGAACAAGGAATTAACCACTAAATAACAACTTGTCCTCTTTAGCTGCCATATGCTATTTCTTTAAGAGTAAAGTAATCATTATAAAATGACCTTCTATCCTGATTTGGACAAATGCTTTTTTATGAATTAAGATGCCATACAGAGAAAGCACATAGCAATAAATTTTTGAAATGTTCAAGTAAGTGACTTAGCATTGTTGCCTGAAAACTAATGCTGATATTTCAATTGATTGTTTAAATAATTTATACAAGTATATTTTAATAAAATTTAATGAGGCATATTTTAATTAATTGCATATAATAGTTCTATAAGAAGCTATCACATGATTTACTATTCCTTATAAAACAGTGTAATTGGTGTGTATTTTAACACTCAAAGTATAACTATATTAATGTTTTATAACACTAATATTTTCAGTTTTACCAATCTATATATTGTTTGGAAGTAGAAATACACGAGAACCTGATGTACTTTACATATATCACTTTTATTAACAGCACAAATGAGACTAAAACTATGTAAACATGAAAAGTAGCCTCAAAATGTTTTTTTATTTGTCCAGTTCTAAGTATACCAAAGTAGTTACAGCTGAAAATATTTTTACAGGCATGGTACTGGGGAACAAGACTGTCCAAGTTTAATACCTGGAATCAACACTCTCTACTGATCATAGACAGCTAAATTTCACAATTTCACTTTCCTCATTTATAAAATGAAGATGATGGTGCTAAGGTTGTTGTCAGGATTAAAAACAAAAGTTCCTGATTGATTTTTTTTTTTTTTTTTTTTTAGTGATGCTGGGAATCAAACCCATGTCCTTGTGCATACAAGGCAAGAGCTCTACCACCAAACAACATCCCTAGCTCATCTGGAACCTATTTTAAAAATATTTCTTAGGCACAGATACATCCAGCCTATTTTGTCATATTAAAGTCAAGTATTTCATATAAACATATAGATAGGAAAACTTTAAAAATTAGAAAAATATATTTATGTAGAAAGTATACAGCTGAGACCAATATTCTCATTTTACAGTCAGAACACAGACTCTAAGAAGTAGAAGAACTTCTCCAAATTCACAAGACCATTTAGTAGATTTTACAGAGAACTCAACAGTCCTTAATTCCTCCCTAGAAACGTTCATCCCTTCCAATATAGCATAACACTGGAGAATAAGTGATTTATAACTCATCTTTCAAAACGAATATGATTGAACTCTGTTTTTGATCCTTTCTAAATTATTTGTGACCTATTGGCTTTGTCCCTAAAATTCATATCCATCTAATGCCTTTTTGCAGCTACATTAAAACAAATGATTTCTGATTGTTTAGCAGGAACACCACATTCTTCAGAATTAAAATGCCAAGAAGCACAAACAAATCAAAGCCCAAAAGCCTTTATTCCCAAAAGAACCTCCAGTCTTAAATCTTACCTTTTTCAGCCATTATTCTTCTTATCCAGTGGCGTGATAAAGGCCACCCTTACCTCTACCTTTTTGTTATCCGGAGTCTCTTTGAACTTTAAATAGAGAGCTATCTGAAGACTGTGGCAGCTGTGCTCCTCTTGGCTGCCGATTGTCTGCAGGATGATGTAAGTCACTGGAAAGCTAAAGTCCTCTGTTTCTTCTTTATCCTTTTTTATTGTGAGAAAAACAAGGGACTACCTGACCTGAACAATTAAGTAAGCTGATTTTCCTAGTGAAGATACATGCTAACTTGTAATTCACTTCATTCTTTCAGACAATAAGAAAGTATTCAGTGAGTAGGTATACAAAGGAAATGACCCTGAAAATATGACCCTCTCTCCGGGAGGGAGTGTGATATGTTGAAAAGAAAGGATTTTGGAGTTGGAGTTGGAGTTGGAGTTGGAGTTGGAGAGTTCAATTCCCACTTCTGCTCTTTCCATAATAAAGGCCAAGTTTCTTAACTAGTACATTGGTTTTTCTTTAATTTTTAAATGAAGGTAATAATAATAATAATTATCTAGGAGAATTATACAAGATAAAATGAAAAATTACCTGAATACAGAAAGTTCTTTATTATACTACAGATGTAAAAGATAAATTGTGCTCCCTCTTTTCAAATGCTCTAAAAACAGGAACGTTAATATAAATGAACTGCAAACTAAGACAATTAAGGTACCATGACATTACCTAGAATACTCAGAGAGCAGTCACAAGTTTGTTGTTTTTATTAGCAATATGTAAAAATAGAACATTTCATTTTTCAACTCCATTCTGATTGAGTTGTAAGATGACCTAAACTATTCTCTGGATTCTCACTGGAACAGCTTTAATTTTGGAGTCCACATGGAAAAGTTTGCAAAGTGACCTTGTAACTAACATCCCCAAAATCTAACATGAGATTAAGAATATCTTCCAGTAAGAGACAAATTTTGCCTGATAAACTATCCCCACAGAGCTACAAAGGTCATGTTTCACTGCAAATTGAAACGTGCCATCACTGCTTGAAATCCATGAATAGTAGTCCCTCAACTGGGTCTTGGTTAAACACCTAAAAGCTTCATCTCTCTACTCTCATTTGCGTTGAGACTTTAGCCACAACTCCTTGCTATTACAGACATTCAGAATATTCCCTCTCTCAGAAGCAGAGAGAATGCTTGATTTTCTACTTCAAATACTATGTCTATAGATCAGAATGTGAAGCAAACAATTTGCCATATATGTCATTTAAACCAAGTTGTCACCTCTCTCTTTCTCCCTCCACTATTTAACATTGAAAAAAAAAAAGTCTGACCACTAGGTAAGTAGAAAAATTATATATTTTCTAAGAACAAAATCTCTTTCTTCCCCAGTAAAATTGATTAATTTTTCTCAGTATTAATAATATTTTAAACAAAAGCTAAATGAAAGCAAGAGATAGAAGAAACTATAGTGATTATTGATCTCAATTTTAAAAATGTACTTATTTATTCATTTTAGTTGATAGGTAATAAGTATACATCTTTATGAGGCACACTGTGACACCTTGATATATTTATACATTGTATACTAATCAGCTTGGGATACTTAGTTTATTTGTCATCACAAACTTTATATGTTCACAGGAATATTCATATTATTTTAGAAAGATGTTGAAAGGAAAAATTGGAGTACCCTCCCAAGAACACACAAAGAACTACATACTAAGGTAAAATAATTTGCCTAAAATGAATAAATATAGGATGGAGAAAAAGTTATTTTACATTTTAAACATATTTCCATTTCAATTACCTTAAGCTTTTTCTTTGATATAAAATAGATTGTTATTAACATTCTTACTATCAATTTGGAGTTTGGAGAGGGATTACTTTATAATTCATCATTTATTCTTCTTTTCTATAGAAAGAGAGAAAGGAAGGAAAAAGCTATTTCAATGAACATGAATAGTCCAAACCCCACAAAAAGATTCAGTCTAGAACTTCATTTCCTTGCTCTCTCAAAGGTAAACTAAAAAATGTTTTATTCATTAATAGACTGGTTTCACTTCAAACTCATAAACCCAAGGGTTTATCATTGACCATTTTCTGATCCTCCTCTTGGGCACATTTCTTAGGAATATTTTCTATTTCTACTTTACATAGCCTCTTAAAGGTTTAGCTCTTAAATCCATTGTCCTCAAGATGACATTAGTTTCTTCAAGTTAAAATAGTAAACTATTTGTTACCTAATTTGAGATGAATTGGAATTCCTCAGTTTTCAAATATTTGAACCATCAGGGGTGAAATTATATAGTTCAAAGACGTGACCATGATAGAAGCTCAATAGATCCTTACCTAGCGGCTGGCTGACTGGCTGGAGGTCTCGATGAGTGGGTTGACAGGACAATAATTGTAGAATAAAGCAGCTCGGTTTGAGGTCTAAACAAAGATTTACTTAAGGAAATATCTAAGGATCATCTTAACGACATGCTAGCCACATAATATGTACATGTCCAATATCAAATATATCCAATAATGTACAGTCTATTTAGTTACTGGTAATATCAGAATAAGCTGTAGCCCAAGTTATGATTAAATGAATGACAATGAAACCAGCAAACGTGAAAGAGTAAGTTCCAAAACTTCTCCTCCATAAAAGTAACAATAAAACTCACCAAACTATGAAAAGCAAATTTTTTCAACATTCTGGAAACTATCCCAAGGCTTAGAACAATTTGGGGAACACTTAAGAAACATTTCTGACTTTCAGTAGGAACAGACATGTGATTGTCTATTCCTGTTTCCCATCTCCAGCCCTGCAGTAGACTTGATAACGAATATTACACAATAACAGTGAAAACCAGCAGCCTGCCAGCCCCCATGGAACAGAGGATGGGTGGGGCTTCTTGAAAGTTTCATTCCCAGAAAATTGTTATTTTTACTTGTCTAGTGATTCTCCAAAAAACCCACTTGTAAGACTGGTTTATTTGGGTTTTTTTGACCTAACTCAAAGCTTACCCAGTATAAAAATCACTTTCACTCAGAGCACTTGTGGAAATAATCACTGTGGATTATTTAACAGCGCAGCTACCTGGATAACAGTTGGAGTAAACAATAGGCTAATTGAAAATTTTAAAAGGAAAGGCAATGTAATTTGATATTCATAAAAGTTTTGAAAAGCTCTGACTATCCCTGGCAATCTAGAAGTCCACAGATACATACATTCTCAGTGCCTTGCACACTGATAGTTGTGGGTATGTATAGGAAAGACCCAAAAAGGCCCTATGCTTCTACTCTGGCTTACTTGTCAGAAAGTGAAAGGGAAGGCAGTTATCAGCTGTCTTGCTTAGCATTTAAGGCCTTCCCTGACACATTCAAAGACCCATCGTCAAAGTCTAAGAGACTAACTAGTTCCTGGAATTCTGCTCAATCACTAAGGGACAATGAAGACAAATGAGAAAAAACTTCAAGAACCATATACAGAAAATGCAGACTCACAAAATCAGCCCAAAAAGCCAGTAACTGAACAAGCTGTAACAGCAGCAACGATCAAATCTTCAAGGGCTCAAGAAGCTGATTTCAAGTGTTGACAAATTACATTATTCAAAATTGTGAGTTTGTAGTGAAAAGTTATGAGACATACAAAGACATTTTTAAATTATGGACCACATAAAGGGAGTAAGAAGCAATCAAAAAAAAAGATGCTCCTCAACTTATGATGAAAGGATGTGTTGATAAACTCACTCAAGTTGAAAATATTATAAATTAAAGATGCATTTAATATACTTAACCTAATAATAAACATCATGATTTAGCTTTTCCTGATTTAAATATGCCCAGAACACTTATGTTAGTCAACAGCTGGACAAACTTGCCCAACACAAAGCCTACTTTATAGTAGAGTGTTAAATACCATGCATGGTTTATTTAATACTCTCCTGGACCTGAAAAATAGAATAGTTGTGTGAGTAGTCACCATTAGTTAACACAGGTGGCCTGGACAATGTTTGAAGCATTGAACTAAAGCTAAATGCTGTGGAGCTGTCAATGCTTGTTCATAGTTTAGCAAGCATAATGTTCTTCAGGAAGAAATGAGGTTTTGACTGTGTGATCTTTCTCTTCTTTTCATTAAGTATTTCTCTATCATAGGCAAGAACATTCTATGTCTTCATGTTAGTTTTGAGAATCTCTTACAATTGATATCCTGTTCCTCTAACATCCACACACCATTGTCGATAACAGGAAATGCCTATACCAGTTTACTGACTGTAAACCTTCTCGGTATACACTGTGCTTCCTCTGCCTCCACTTCTTTACCTTCGTGTTCCCCCCGTTGGATCAACTGATCGAGAAGACCTTCAACCACAGCACCAAAAAGTGCATGAATGACCTCTTCATCTGCATCCAATTTCAGCAGTTTCCCATTAACTAAGATCTATCACACACAAGAAAACATTTGTTAAAGCCTTTGAGTGTGTTCATATATTATCAAAACTTTCTTCTAAATGCCATTCGTAGATTGTTATGTGTGATTTCTTCCCATGTTTCAGTGGTGTTCTGGATAGGATTTATGATAACAAAATCTTTCCAAAGCTCTCAGAGCCTTGCAACAGATTCAATGGCTTCAACAGCCTGCACGAACATTTGGTATAAACAGTATGCTTTGAATAGTGGACTAAAATTATCTTGGTTCATTGGTTAAATGAGTGTGGCAATGTTCACTAGCAAATGTGTAGCCTTATGTCCTATCTGGTGTGGGTGTACTGGAACAGTGTTTAAAGAAGGGTCTTGAATGGAAATTTGTTTTGCCTACAATATTATTTTGCCAGTAGCACAGAACAATTCTAAATCAATCATCAAAACCTACTGTCATCTAAGTTTTCTTGGTATGGCAATAATAAGCCAGAAGCTTGAGATTATCCACATTCCTGAATGCTCTAGTGTTCTACAAATGGTAGGTTCTATAAAGCTTTAATTTGAACCCTGTGACATTTCTATTCAAAAGCAGAATTATATGGTCTTTGAATGTTTTGAAATTTAGCTCTGTCTTGTACACTTTCTGGATGTATATATGCTGTGATGTACATGTCCAGAAAAATGTTGCCTCATTGACGTAAAACTTTCTCTTTCAAGATTATCTTACACAAGTCTTCCTAAAAGCTTCAGTACCTTCAAAATCAGCACCTGCTACCTCACTACT